AGAAAAAATAAAAATAATGCCATAAGATTACATTAGAAATGTTAGAAATAAACCGCACGAAATTTGTGTACACGTTTAAAACGAAATAAAATATTCTTACAAGAAAATATCTGTGTGTTTATGTATTCCTACGCTGTTATAACCTATGTTGTATTATTCTATTTCAATCCGTTTCCAATGCGTGAGTCACGCTCAGCGTGAGTGATGCGTATAATATGTAATTCAACAGTCTGTACCAGTGCAGGTAGTGCCAATAATATGAACAAGCTTTCGTTGGTAGGGATGCAACTACCTGAAAATCAATAAGGAGAATTTCGAAGTTTTGAGCGAAGGCCCTTCTTCTGGAGTTACTAGCGATGGTCAGGAAAATTACATGAGCTTTTATAGTAAGAATATAAAAGCAATCAGGCGACAAAAAAAGAAACCAAGGAATTAGATAATTTCAGTCAAAACAAAGTATAAACAAAAAAGGTAAATCACGTTACAGAATATATTAACACAAATTTACAGGAAACTGCAGCAAACACAACAAAATATATGAAACAAGTATGGAAAAAGGTAAGAATTAAATTATTAGTCAATGTCCACTTTTGACAGGAAAAGACAGATAGAGCTAAACATAGCGCATTTCATGTCCTTTGCCGTTATCGTTGCTTCCAGGAATGGAACATAGAGCTCGAATTTCCATATCTGAAACACAGTGATTGCCAGTATTAACTTATAGGGAGGGACTCAACCTTTTGGTATGGCTGGGGTAGGAAGAGGAAAATAAAAGATAGCTAGCTATGGGAGTCAGTAGGCCTGTAGAACATAGAAGTAACTGGTGTATTACCATTGATTGATACAAGGATATCTAAGAATGATACACTGGTCTCACTGATCTCCCATATGAACTGGAGTGCTGGATGGAAATTATTAATCAAGTTAATACGACGTTCCAATTCGATAGTTGGACTCTGCTTAATTAAGTCAGGAAGAGTATTCAGGCCAGAGTCTTGGAGCAGCTCAGGAAAATGACTTCTCGCCATATGTCTCTGTTCGCACTCTAGGGACAGTTAGGCGAGGCCATTAAGAGCTTTATAGGTCACCAAAAGAGTTTGAAAGTTATTCGTTGTTGCACTGGAAGCCAGTGAATATAGGGAAGTACCGTTGTTATATGTGCAATTTTCCTTTCTCTGACGACCAATCTGGCAGCAGTGTTTTGTAACCTTTGGAGCTTCTGTAATTCACAAGAAGGAAGGCTGTAGAGTACGCCGTTGCAATAATCGAGCTTGGATGAGCAAAAAGCATGTACAAGACTTTCGGTATCCTTTCGTGAAAGATATTTACTTATTTTTTCTTTGGTGTATTGATTGCGAAGCTGAATGACATATGTTATTAATATGCACTTTGAAAGTAAGATAGGGATCAAGTGTAACTCCTAGATCCTTTACTTTGTTTACGGGTTGTACATCATACATGTATCCTCCTACTTTGATGGGACGAAGAGGACAATCAGGTTTCATGTAATCAGTGATGGAATCAGTGCATGGTTCGAATATCTGTTTTTCCGCAAAACCAACAAACAAACAAATTAGCATAGTTAGGACCCATTTTGTTTCCCATGGCTACACCACTTATCTATTAATAATGCTCATCATCAAAGGAAAAATTGTTGGGAGTGAGCACTAGCTCGGCCAATCGAACCAAAACAGCACTAGACGGTTTCTGGTTAGGGCGCTTATCTAGAAAGAATTTGTGGGCCCTTAAATCATTACGATGCGAAATTACAGTGTATAAATATTCGTCATCTATGGCAACTATGAATTTGTGAGTGCCATGGAAATGAATATTCGGAAAGATTTGGAGAGCATGTTTCGTATCCTTGATATATAGGATGGGAAGTCCTTAACCAAGGGTGCCATGACAAGATCAAGAAAACTTGAGATGAGTTCGGTGGACAACCACAAGCAGAGACAATGGGTCCACCTTGGTTGTCAGGTTTGTGAATTTTGGGCAAGAAGTACATAACACGTGTGCGATGTGTGGAGGACATGCGGTTTTGGCAGTCTCTGGGAGATCACCGGTGGCGATGAAGCTATGGATGGTCTTTGAAATGGTAGTTTGACGAGTGGAAGCCAAATCCTTGTCAACCCTGCTGTAAAAAGTGGTGTTATCCAACTATCTGCGGGCTTCATTACGATATAAATCAGCCCTCCATATTATCAAGACACCCCCTTATCAGCAGGTTTGATAACAATGTCATCACGCGCAGGAAGTGATTGAAGGGCAATAAATTCAGTGTCACTGAGGTTGGGTGGCCTTTTGGGCCTAAACTTGGGGAGCTGTTCTATATCATGTGGAAATTGTCGAATGAATATTTCAAGCGGCACGTATATTGGTTTTCTCAAGGAGACCTGGAGCCGGTTGTTCAAAAGCTGGTTAACTTTAACCCAGGGTTAGCGCTAACCCTGGGTTAAAATCCTTAACCCAGGGTTAGTTAACCTGAGTTAAAACTGCGTTGTTCAAAGCTGCGTTAGAGGTGTGGTTAGTTAACCCAGGGTTAAGACATTTAACCCAAGGTTAAATTTGTTTTAAAAATAAATGTAATATAAGAACGTTTTCGATTGACTGGAAAGTAAGTGTCAAAACTAGGGATAGAATGGGATAGATGGGAGAAATATTGTTTAACAAGTAATAGACAACTGAAATTGAACATTTCAGACATGGATTTAAGCATTTTGAAAGTTTTTAAATAAATCAATTTTGGAATTTTAGGCAGTGCTCGAATAAGTAAATTTGAGAACAAAATCCCAGCCAATCAAATGAACTTCGAATTATTTTGGAGTTGAAAAGCATTTTTCAACGCATGCGTGGCTATAAAACAGAACATGAAAACTGAAAAAGAAGCAGCGAAGTTGTTTTACAGCTTTCAAAAACACTGTTTTTACTAGGTAATACACTACGCTGCAAACAGTAGATGTGCAAGAACTTGTGACTGTTCAACAAATGGCAAATGAAAACTTTGTGAAACAGGTGGTGGTACGGCGAATTGTTTGGCAATACAAGTATTTGTTCTATAGAGTCATTTTTCGAAGAAACCTGAGTTGAATGCTCGGCTTTAATAAAACTATAGTCTACAGTTTTGGTGGCGGCAATCGCCAAAGATCTCGTGAAGTAAATCCGTCACTGTACAGTGTATACAATTTTGATTACGGCATTTGTGCACCAAACTATATTTTGAAAACCGGCAGACGGCAGACGTAGCTGTTTCTTTTGGCGTCTTGTAAATTAAGGTACTTTAATTCCACAGTAACGCAATAAAACAGTAAATTATGATGTCAATGCTTAGACCATAGCACCCCAAAATGGACAGAAAGTTGCCGTATCTTCACTTTAATGCTCGTATATAAATTCAAAACCAACTTGTATAGGTATAAAATCATTTCAAAGGCTCATACGGGACGAATAAGAATCTTAATAGTATATCTTTGAGGTTGATTTTCCTCCATAAAATCTTTGTACATGCAGTGTTTGTTTCACCAAGAGTTTTACATGTTTTCTTTTTTCACTCCTTCGACGTCCATTTTGAATACGAGTTAACCGGCCGATTAGCAAGTTCACCCATGCACCTAGCAAGGAGGGTTAAATTTATTATAACCCTTGTTTTAACCGAGGGTTAAAGATAACCTAGCTTTGAACAACGCAAAGTAACCTACGGTTAAAATTTAACCCTAGGTTAAGCAACATTAACCCTAGGTTTGCGTTAACCGGCTTTTGAACAACCTCAAACTGAAGTTAGGATTTAGTAAGGATTTTGTATCTGTCTTAACCTTAGTTCATAGCTCGCTATCTCAGGATTCGTCGTCACAGAATGGCAAGTTTCCTTGCTGGGTTAATAATAATACAATGACTTTATTTAAGCACGATGATGTTTAAAGCATAAGCTTGTGGGGTCGTTTGTGGGGTTGTCAAAACCTAACCTTGTGGCGTTGTCAAAACATAACCTCGTGGAGTTGCCAAATGCAAAACCTTCATCTAAATCTCAATATCATGTCAAGCACAATTTCAAATGCACCTCCTCCCATCTCATGTTCTGCATCTCGTGCAATTGATGTGGCATATCTTTATATTGGATAAACTGGAAGATCTTTGAGGACAAGGTTTGGTGAGCATCGGCGTCATTGGCAATGATGCTAGCTAGCCTGTTGCCAGACATTTTAATACTGGCAATCACAGTGTTTCAGATATGGAAATGCTAGCCCTCTGTCCCATTTCTGGAAGCAATGATAGCCGCAGTAGACATGAAATGCTCCCTATTTCCAAACGGTCCACCCCTATGGCATTTATGAACGTTTTTCCCTATGTTTAACTCTATTTGTCTAAAGGCGGTTTTCCACTAGGCGAAATTTTTCGACCGAATCGAAATTTCTCTTTGTTTCAGAGCTCTCGAGCAGAACTAATTGTAAAAAGACAAAGAGAAATTTCGTTTCGGTCGAAAAATTCCGCCTCGTGGAATCCGGCCTTAAAGCAGACATTCACATCACTTTTAATTCTTACCTTATTCCATGTGTTTCATATATTTTGTTCTATTTGCTGTAGTTTCCTGTATTATTGTATTAATATATTCTGTAATGTGATTTACATATTTTGTTTATAGTTTTATATTCCTAGTATAAAAACTCTCGTAATTTTCCCAACCTCCGCTAGTAACTCCAGACGAAGGGCCTTCGCTCGAAACGTCGAAATTCTCCTTTATAATATATATATTTTTCAGGTAGTTGCATCCCTACCAACGAAAGGTTGTTCATTTTATACGCACTATATCTACACCGGCCAAGACAGCTCAAAGTAGTTTGCAAATGCTTTTATTCAACAGAAATTTATTATCAATTTTTTGGGGGCTACCTAGGGTATAACTGCCCAATCAAATGAGTAAATTATGCATAATATATTCAGTTATAATTGTCGATGTGCATGCACCGCTTATTTAGTCAAACAGATCACGCCGTTTGAACAACATGCTTGTCGCTATCAGTACTTGGACTTTGATTCTTATCTTTTTCCTGATCCTTACAAAACGAGGAGAATGTCAGGAGGAAGCCGTGTTTCGCAGAAAAGTAGGAAAGTACTTGGCTAATTACGTCATCCGAACTGAAAATACTACCAGCGAACTAGAGTGCGGTATGCGTTGTTCGGCGGATTCGCTGTGTGCGTCTGTAAACTATAAAACATCTGGGACTAACAAAGGTCTATGTGAACTCAACAGCAAAGCGCTTGACGAGAGAGAATCTGATGTGTTACTGTCAGATTCCACCGATTTTAATCATCTTCATTTTGACACAAGGGTAAGAAAATATATTTTATATAAGTGCAGCAGAATACTATATATATTTACTTTATTTTATACTTGTGAGAAAATACTTTCTCGAGGACTGGAAAAGTATACGATTTAATAACTTGTGGTGAGCAGGATGCAGGGGGAGAAATATTCGCTGTGGGCTGAATCTTATAAATTCAGGTTTAAAAGGATAAGAATTGAGAAAGGTTTTGTAAACCTAAAATTCTATTCGATAATAGCAATAAAAATTGCTAAGATCCTTTGAGATGTGACATATTTAGTAGGATGACTACTATAACACTGAGTGCTACTATGGCAACCGTCGAATACAATCATTCAATCAGTCAAAAGTCTAAAAGGCGCTAAAGCATTAAAAGATGAAAGGTCTACCAATTGTAGGCCCCCGCACATCGGAACATATCAACTGTCGCGTACGAGAACGATGCATGGTTCTACGGAATTCTTGCAACATATTTAATTTTCAAGAGTGAATTTATGCTGCGATAAGATTTTCGATTTAATTTTTCATTTGGCTGGTGGACGTTTTTAATCTTTCATCTTGAAACGTAGTCTTCATTAGAAGATTGGAAACATTTATTTTTATTAGTTTATTTTCCCGCTATATACAAGATCACATAACCAAACTAGAGGGCACTCAGAGACTGCATACCTCCGCCCCCATTGAATTTCGGTCGTGTGAAATGCAATTAAAACAATAGATAATGTATGCTGAAGCTTATTGAGGTTTATCATCTCATTATTGTCCTAGTACTGCGTGCATACATTATACACGTCCTAATTACGGATTCAGTGAGTTTTTTTAATTGACCGGGAAAAGAAAGACAAAATTTTGTACATTTCTCGTTCAATTTTTAACCAAATTCAACCAAATTTTAACCCGTTCTTCCTTAGCCGATGGGAAATGCATTCAAAAAATTTCGTATGAATCTGTTTGGTATTTCGTGAGTTATCGTGCTCACAGACAAAGACACATACACACACACACGCGCACGCACGCACGCACACACGCACGCACGCACGCACACACGCACGCACGCACGCACGCACGCACGCACACACACATACAAACCCAGATGATTACATAACCTCCTGGTGGAGGTCAAAATAAAGATCATTTTGACAAGGCATAAGGCTCCATTCCATTTATTGTTACGATTTGGAGTTTCATCATGTTGCTATTTGTTCAATTAAAACAATCTATGCAACTTCCTAAGTATATTTTGGAAAGTTAGGATTTTTGAAGTGGTTAGCTCGTTAAGGTGATTAACGGTTTGCCAGATACTCAAAATACGTGCCAAGTTTGCTGTTCGCAAAATTTGGTATACGTTTGCCGTCTTTTCATCCAGAGGCTAACGGTTATCATCGCTGGTAGTTTCTCGACTTGCACAAAAGCAACAACAGCTAATGTGTATTATATGTATCGTTCATGCAAAAATACATTTTTGCTTAAGGAGGTTTGATACAATTATAAAAAAGATTTTATAGCATTTTGATATTCAGGAGTTGCATATTTTAAAGTTTTATGCAGGATATATTAATTGAATTCTTTGTTTAATCTAATGTTTCATCTTTCAAATTTTACTAATAGAAATAAGACATAGTCTGCTTTTATGGCAACGCTCAGGTAAGACCTTGACTCTCAGATGTAATCTCAAACGGTCTGTGCCAGTGTATAGGTAGTGACTACAACGAAACGGTTGCAGATTGAGAGGGATACAACTACCTGATGAATACAAACATAATTTGTCGTTAGAAGTAGCATACTAACTCCCGGACAAAGGGCATTTGCTCGACGTTCCGCTTGTATTTTCCCGTTTGTTGTATCTCTATCAATCCGCAGCTGTCTTCACTCTCATATAGCCTATTGCGTCGCGTAGTTGCAAAAAAGCATAATGGACCACGATTTTACTTAGAACATCAACTAACGATACGATAAAAAATTGTTGAGGGAAAGAAACTTATATCCACATTATAAATATATTATTCACTGGAGTTTCGACTGATTTTTTTGCCGATAAAAACACTTTCGCGTTGCATGTCTAAAATAGCGGTTATTAACAATTAATAGCATAAATAGACTTGGGCCAAATATCTTCATTAGGCAACAAGCATGGTGTCAAATATCAATTAAAATTAAATACAAAATTAACATGCAAAGCGTCGCATATTTGCATAATTGTCTATAATGAACAAACGCAAGCCCTAATGCAAGCAGGGCGTCTATAAGAATGGGCGGCGAAACGCCAGTGAAGCAGCTGAAACATGGGTGATGCACTTTAGGCCTGGGGCCTAGCGTGCACAACACGGAGTTCTCGAAGAAAACAAAAAAATTAAAATTGTCAACAAGCTTCGTTAAAACGATTGTAACTTGGCAGTTTTTGACGCGATGTCCGAGATACCTCTTTTTTGTGCTATACAGATCGTTAGCTACCGCTGCAGTGCCGAAAAATGTTTCTGTAGCGTTAATCACCGAAACATTTCAACTTCAAAACTATAAACTTGCGTGTCAACTTCGTCGGTTGTTACGTAGACGGCAAATATTTGCATTTTTTTTCAGCGAGGAAACGGCCAAATGGTATTAAACTTTAGAGTTGTGATGCACATTATGTTAAAACTTATTCAGATGCAAGATTTCATCGTGTAGTTTTTTTACCTTTTTTTGCAATCGTTTATAGAATTTAACCTATTCAATATTTTTTAAAACACAACTGCTTTCGCAACTACGAGGTCTAAAAATATCTATGTAAAAACATTGAATTCATATTTTTGGTTCACTTTATGTAAGACAAGATATATATTTTCCTTGATGTGTATATATTTAGACATTATGTGAGTAATAATACAAGAAAATGTTATCTTACTTGGCAGCAACACTTGACCTCGTCGCTATGGCGGCTTCGAAATTTTTAACATGAAATTTTTCCATAAAAAATTGAGATGCTTGCTGTTGCCCAAGAAGCTTAAAAAATCGCACAATGACTGCCCTAACTAATAGGACCCATTTGACCTGAGTACGGTAACACAACTTTTTGACCTTTTTTCACAATTTTCGCTCGAAGTCCACATCCCAAAAACTAAAATGGTCTTTACAGCGTTTAAAAGTGCTCAGGGGAATGGGACGAGTAAACAAAAAACGAAAGGCGGGAAAAATAAACTTATGAATATACAAAACAATACGCAAAACTGATCTGAATACACAAATGTACAAAGAAAAACACGAATACGAAACCAAACAAACCATAAAGTAAACAAACCATATCATTTAATTGCTTAGAATTGTCCAAATATACTATTTATTATAACAAAAAGCATATATGTTTTAGAGTAAAAACATATTTTACTCCAGCTAATGCCGAAATGCAAAATTCACTAATAAATTCATACTTCGTGGCATACTTGAAATTGTGCTTTAACATAGTACGCGGACATGACGAGAAAACTGCTACAAAACTGCCATTTAAACTGATAGCAATTTCCAATTCTTCCTCGCTCAAGCAGCCCGCCATCTTGAAACACGAAAATGCAATCAAACCATAGGTAGCCCAACAATCCGCACGCCGTGACGTATGTGCAGTAGTATAATTAATATCCTAAGGTTGGCAAGTAAATAATATCATGACTCACCACGGCTTAAACAAGTCGAAAAAAACAACGTCTCGTGAACAAAGTATGCTAAAAAATAGCAACCTCTACTTGTAGGATAGTTTTACTAAATATGTACAACGTTTTTTTTGCAACAACACGAGTTTATAAGACGAAAAAATATGAAAGTTTTCTTTGAATTTGCCGTGTCTCGATGCGGGATACCTGTTACCATGCGAAAATCGCCGTTTCAAAACACGTATACGCGATCCTATTGGCTATCAAAAAACCGACAAAACAACTTACAGGGGGGGGAGTTTACCATTTGTCTGCTAGCAAAAAGTGTCTGCTAGTGCACGCAACTGCTATGTTTATAGCCGATCATGTCGTCCGGTGATTGTGGATTATTTGTCAAAATTTGTCTGTTTTAAAGTATCAAGCGGCGGCAAGGTTCGGTCGCCAGTTTAACTGCGCTGGCGACTTTTCAAAACATTATAAATCGACTTGCAAAAACTGATGCTGATCATCGAACAGATACTGCACGGTGAGTTTTCTGCATGTAGATTGTAGTTTAGCATTGACCCATTGTCCTTTTAATTAAAAAACGTGCAGGTATAAAACCGAAATACCCCCTGACCCCCCCTGCCCCCCCGGCCACGGCGCCACTGTAAACATCTCAAAATGTTTTATTAAAGTGATGTGCCATGGGTAGGATAAAGGCCTATTAAAAAGCCAGACAATGGAAAATGAGAAGATCAAAATATCTTTTTTATATTTGTAGTATAATTAAGGTTCAAACAGTTTTTATTTTCATGTTTTGTTTTGTTTTAATCATGACCACTCTGATATTGGCCAAGTATATTGTCTACAGCAGGGCTCTCATTTTTAAGGAAATTTCCTTAAACTGAGGAAATTATGACCTTTTTAAGGAGACTTTTAAGGAAATAGAAATTTTAAGGAATTTTTAAGGAATTTTGAGTTGAAAACACTCCAAACAATAATTAGTTATTACACTGTTTGTTATACTTATAAGTTATATCCATCGACCTAATGAAAGTTTTGCGCAGTAGTTTTTACTGAAATCGCTGATCATCTTCAATTTTATTGTTCATATTTAGTTCTTTAATTAACGCCCGCAGAGGTTCAATCTGAGCTTCTCTCGAGTGTCATTGCTGTGTTTGAATAGCTGGAGGGTTAGTGTGGTACCTTACTATGTGACCACTCACCCTCCAGGTATTCAAAAACAGCATTGACACTCAAGAAAAGCTCAGATTGAACTTCCACTCAGTGAGTGTGAGTGAGCTTTTAGAATACGGGCGTATGTTTCTGAGTGACTTTGACTCACTGTGTTTTTGAAGCGTAGTTTTCGAACTCGAAACTTTTTTGCAGCAAACTTTGCATGATGGTTCGTCGTTCGAGTTTTTTGGTGCAACAATTAAAAGTAGGATATTTGTCCATTCCGCTCGAAATTTTTGTTTATACTTTTTTTTTCAATTTTAGTCTTTTTTGGAGCGCTTCCCTTGGATTCAAAATCAGAAAATTCAGAATCCGCCATTTTCCGATGTAAAAAAGTTATATTTACATATTTTCGCGCCAATTGCGCCTATGATCGCGTGCCACTGGAGTGTTCCTCAGAGACTAGGCCAAGTCTAAGGAAATTTTTGTCGATTTAGGGAATTTTTACCGCTGAGTCTAAGGAAAATTTGGAATCCCGTTCTGAGAGCCCTGGTCTACAGACCTATATAGACAGTGCCAGAAAGTTTTCAAAAAACACATATTCTCGCCACATTTGTGTTAAAACTCAGCATTTCACGTCTTCGCGTCCGACTTCAATAAGCGAATTAATATATTGTACATGAAAGTTTTTTTAAAAACATTCCCGCTAGGCGCTACATACAAAATTAAGAAAACTATTTTTTTGGAAATGAGTTCAATACTATAGCTAAACCGGTTACAATCTACATGCAGAAAACTCACCGTGCAGTATCTGTTCGATGATCAGCTTTCGTATTTTTTCGCCTTATAAACTCGTGTTGTTGCAAAAAAACGTTGTACATATTTAGTAAAACTATCCTACAAGTAGAGGCTGCTATTTTTTAGCGTACTTTGTTCATGAGACGTTGTTTTTTTCGACTTGTTTAAGCCGTGGCGAGTCATGATATTATTTACTTGCCAACCTTAGGATATTATACTACTGCATCATACGTCACGGCGTGCGGATTGTTGGGCTACCTATGATCAAACTGCTTTCGAACATCGTGGGGGGTCCGTGCATTAGACATGTTTCAACGCTTTCACTGGCGTTTCACCGCCCATTCTTATAGACGCCCTGATGCAAGTTAGAATTATGAGTTCATGTTTATAGTATACTGAGGCTTTCTATATTTAGCGTTTTTCACGTATAGTGGAACCAGAGAAAAGAAGAGGGGTTTACAGAACGCTGTTTGGAATTCTAGAACCCGCGCCACCTCCCACCCTCGGGGAAAAAATATAATTTGGGGGGGGGGGACGCGCTGCTACAGACAATTGTATTCTGGCCTAAGGTATCTTCGAAGTGCAGAATATACTTTTATCTATTCCAAGCTTTAAAATTAAACTGAAACGGGAACTGCTTCAGCAATTTCTAGATTGTTAGCATAAGGGCATGTTTTTCTGTTGTCGTTGTTATTGTCGTTGATGTTGTTGTTGTTGTTGTTGTTGCTTTTGCTGTCGTTGTTGATGACGTTGATGTACGTTGTATGCTGCTGTTGTTAATCTTGTTGTCAAAATTTTGATGTTGTGTTTGTGTATAAAGTAATTGCGTGATCTTATTATATAAATTTAGGATCTGATGTATAATCATAGTAATTAATTGATATGTATAAATATTTTTGTCACTGAAAAGCCCCTTTAGGGGAGTGTCAATAAAGTCAATCAATAACAATAACAATACTGGTTTCAGAAATACCACAAGTTTCTCCATTTTATATTGTAAGGTGTTACCCTCCTGACATAAATTTTTATCTTATATTATCTAAAATTCAAAAATGTCCCCTGGAGGGGGGAGTGTACAGGTAAGCAGCCGAACCCTTTTTGGTTAAAGAAACAGATCTAGAACAATTATTGTTTTATTACGTGCAAGAGCTTAGCCCCAACTAATTGATAAAGCTCTTTCTGCAAACTAATATGAGAAGAAATGACTGATTATGAGTCTTCTTTATTTCAATCCATACAACCTCTAATATTGAGATGGCACAATATATGTCTTTCGTAACTATGCCATACTATTTAAGTGAATTTGGTCGGGGGCGGTTCTAGCTAAATATCTGACTGTAGCATAATCCTAAACTTTTGGCGCATAAGCAAACCTGGGGGTCTGGGGGCATCCCTCCTCGGAAAATTGTTGAAATTTGAAGCACGCAAACGCCATTTCCTGAATTCTGAGCTTCGAATCCTGTTGTAAAATTTGACCGTAATAAAGCCATATTTCAGACAAAAAGTTACAAAAACACATAATAAGCCAGTAAAATGTTTATAAAACAACATACCAAGATTATACCAGATTTACATTCTAGCTTAATTACTGTTTACAAAGTTTAAAACTTGCCTTCTTCCATACATTATTTGCTGCCAAGCGTAGCGAGTCAGCTCACTATTCTTGACGTTACATGACGTTCTTGCTTTTTCGTGCCGAGTCCCCGGCCGAGTTATATTGGGGAAACAGTACTAAATCCATGTCAGTTTGTCGGATGTAGGGATTATTCGGAAATTGTCGTCAGCTCGGGCATTCGTCGACTCTTCGTTTTTACTTTTTATTCAATTTTGATTCGATTTTATTTTGTATTGCGCTCGCATGATTTCTTCTCAACCTTTCGATTTGTAAATATTTTAATACTGGTTGATCAGTCACCGTGTTTAAAGATGTTTTTAATAAATAATAAATAAATAATGAAAATGAAAAATAGTAATATTAGCGTTGATATATGCATACATATATATAACTTTATTTTTCAATTTTAAGAGTTGCAAAGACAATGAAGAATTTTCAACTGGTGAGTATGCTTGACGATAAATTTGGCCCATAAGGTCGGTCATTTTTCCCAGTTTATCAACTAATATTATAAGAATTTTACAAGATTTTCGCGAAATGATCAATTCGAATTTCTGTCTTTGCCAGGGTGTTACTCTGGAGAAATCTATTAATGATCAAATTAACAAATCTTGAATATGCCCTAGCTGTATAGTTGGTTGGTGCGTGTTTAACTTAGCTTTCTTTACATTTTCGTATCCATGTAGCTACTGAACTATAAATAAACGAGTCGTGAATACAATACAGTATATATATATCTTCCACACAAAATTTTGAAACACTACTTCCACCCTGTGAAAGGCACTCTCATATATAGTATCGAAATTTTCCAGGGAAAGCGTGTGAAAATTTTCCGAAGTTCTGGACATCTGTAAAGTGAGGAAATGTTTCAAATATTCCAGCGGAACATAGAACCTTCTTTAAACTGTTTGTATTACGAGCTGGGAACTCCAATGTCTGCACGCGCAGATCGAATGGACTGCATCGCATCTTTCAAAAATTGGCAGGCACTCTTTGTGTCGTATTACGTTTATAATTATGTGCATGATTAATGACGATACAAAGAACGGTTGCCAGACAGAATTTCTTTCGAGATATTTACAATCTGCAAACAATTAATATTCAATCTTACTGGTCGAAAATCAAGCTTGGATTTTGAAAAATATTGAAAAAACGAAAAATTTTCATTTGTTTGGGTAACAAATGTTGTAGATAATAAAAAAAATAATATTTTTATACAATTCCAGAAACCAAAAAGTGCAAATTAAGGATCTTCCACTCATGCAAAGATGTCTTAAGTAGATACAAGTAAGTCCGCGGTGGATGGTATCCCTCAGTAAAATCATAGACGGGTTGATGCGTGGTGCAAATGCGGCCAAGTTGTTACTGTGAGTTTAAAAAATTAAAAAATTAAAAAAATTTTTAAACTCACAATAACAACTTGGGCGCATTTGCACCACACAACAAGATACGAGTAAGTTCATTAATTTGAAGTTTATATTTAGTATACACATATTTGTAAGGTCTAGCTAATCTTCCAGCTGCATGGCAAAGAGCCATGCAGCAACTATAATTATATAGTACGAGAATACAAACCCAGTCTGCTTATATTTAATAATTTGTTTCTTTCTTTGTCCCTCGTGAAACGTGTTGAAACATTATAATTATGTAATTATAGATGTTCACGTTATACTATATAGCAAAACATTAAATTTAACATTTAGAAATGCTGCCAATGAAGTCTACACTCTAAAATCGATCATTTCAAACGAATATTATCAGACCTACTGTCACCTGACCAACATTACAACATGTGGCGGCGGAGGCTGGACACTAGTTATGAAGTTGGACGGGGAAAAGGTGAGATAAGAGTGTAAAGGAACTTAGCGATCGCTGCATGTAAACTAGAATGATGGCTGTTTCATGTAGCACGATAAATTTAAAAACTCTGGTTATGACAACCTTCTTTATAGCTGTTATATATCCTTTTTTAATTTGTGGCATACTTGCTTGGGCAAATACATATCTCACAACTCTGCAGCCATTATAACCTTTTCAAAATTTGATAACTGACATTCATTCAAGTCTACTATTAAAAAAATCTTAAAATAATTAAGTTTAATGATCTGATAACGTTACACGTCACAACTTTTATAAACGAAATAACAGAATATCCGATTAGACTACGTTTAATACTTTTTTCGCTCCTGTTAACAAAACACATGCCTATAACACTATATATTTGCATCAAATAAATCTTACACTATATTCATAAAATTCGAACAAACTATGGAATTTTCAATCTTGCATATCAAGGTGTCGAATTCTCTTACGAATCAATAAAGTCGTATCTATCTATTGCCTAAGAAATCTTTAAAAACTTACTCAATATGAATCCAATTCATGACCAAAAAATTAAAATAAATTTATTATCGCTCTCGTTTTGCGATATTCGTGCACATGCATGAAAATGTAAACTTCTTTATTCATTCAAATCATGATAGTTTGGTTCTCCCAGTTATATGTGCTATTTGTTTTTTTGTTTTTTTCTGTGGGCATGCTGCTCATATTCAGCAAATTTTCTCCCAGAACCGCAGGCTCGCATTTTCCAGCGGACTTGCCGTGAAAAATTTAAAAATTTTGCGTTTTCCACAGAACTGGCCATTTTGTGTAAGATCTCCGTTGATAATGTGAGGCCTCAGGCCGCACGAGTGGGAGAAATTTCGCTAAATTTGACCAATGTGGGTTTTTTTACGTACGGACGAGTATAACTGCTGTCTGGATATAAAACCACATAAACTTAAACGATTCCAGCCTGGCATGCTACTATATGTTTATTCCAGGCAAGAATTAAGTAGCCAAAAAATACCACAAAATCCTTAATATGTTGGAAGTTTTTAACTACGGGGTAGATTAAAATTGTTGTTCTTGTTTCATTTTTAATACAGTTAAATGTTATCCATTATAGAATCCATGAATAAAACATTCATGATTTAAAACAAATCAATAACAATTGCATTTAATGGTTAAATACTCTGTCCTCGCAAATGCTCTGCGCAGTCCAGTCGTGTTGAAAAAGTAAAATACATTTGATTTTGTCTAGAAAACATTTCTATATCATTCTCCCGTTTGGTCGAACAAGGAGACATACGCTGAACAAGATGGACTCGAAGGATTGACAGAGAAAGAAAGCAAGTTGGCGTCGTATTGGAACACTCCTTTCACAAAAATTTGCTTCGGCATGACACACAATGGCGACAAAAGATGGCTGAAACTCGATTATAACGCAAGTTCGCTGTACAGTGTGTTCGCAGACGGAGAATACAAGCCTACGGCCCTCGGCAGAAATGCTTGGAAATCTCTGATCGCGGACTCATCACTTCAATCCAGTTGCCACAAGGAAGGTTTTAATGTACCGTACAATGAAGGAAGCGATGCTGGAATACGAATCGGAATCTATGCTGATGATAACCTGAATTGCCGTGGCTCCGATTCTTGGATTGGCTGCGGTTTTAGTCATGGAGTTGGCGCTTGCCAGCATTTTGCAAGGAGTCAGTATAGTCCGGATAATGGAGGCAGAGACTTGAAGACGTTTGGATATATTCTGGTTCAGTAAAGCATGCAATATGAAAAATCTAATAGCAACACTTAAAATACATTATAGCACTATACTTTTAGCACCGATTTAAACACGTCATTACGAGTAGTTTGAACGATCACGTAATTCAATACAAAAAATTTGTACAAAATCCATTGCCTGCATGCTGAGAAGGTTATAATATAACTTTAAGAACTTTTGTGTCTTTGTAATTTTACACTAAATATCCATTTCTGTTTACATGGACACTGCCGTCCTGGCCTGCTCTCGAGCTCGGCGAGTCCACGTTTGAAAAACACGAGCTCACGTTGAAAAAAGGCCTAAGGCCTAAAAATATTCTGTTTCTGGTCAGCTCCAGTGTGATTTTAACTATGTGTGTGTAAAGGAGATTGGCAATATAAAATTTTCATATGTGTCCAATATAGCCATCGGTTGTCAGGTGGTGAAGATGGTGTAAGATGGTGTCAGATGCTTTGTTTGTCAGACGCTTGTAGTGTGGTGTCGGATGGTGTAGGATGGTTCAGCTGAACAGTTGTTGTCAGGTGGTGAATATGGTGTAAGATGGTGAAGATGGTTTAATGGGGGGGGGGGAGTGTTAATTTTTAACCTACTTGTGCACATATAGCGTTGCCTCGTTCTTTCCGCCACGCATATATATCAATAAAACCTACCAGACCAACGACAAAAGCGTTATGGCTAACTGTGCGTATATATATAGTGTTGCCTCGTTCTTTCAAAACTACGTATATATCAATAAAGCCTACCAGACCAACGACAAAAGCGTTATGGCTAATTGTGCATATATAGTGTTGCCTCGTTCTTTCAAAACTACGTAGCTATATATCAATAAAACATACAGGACCAACGACAAAAGCGTTATGGCTAATTGTCCATTATTATATAGTGTTGCCTCGTTCTTTAAAAAACACGCTTCGTATGTAGTAAACTGCAGTAGCAAACGCGTCAACGCATTACTATACAATCTTTGACAACGTCAAAAATTGTGTATTTATATGTTTCATATGTATACATGCTTATATTCGCTTTGACATTTTAGGCATTTCCGGGCAGGAAACTATAAATTATAACAGTTATAACATGCACTAGCGGGCTGTAACGCAGCCATGCTATGTCAATGACAAATACATGCATAAGCCAGCAGGGTTCTTGTTTTAATCTTGTGCGCACTTTATATAACTGAATGTAGCAATTCATTGCATTATTACCTTTTAGTGCTTCAAATTCGGCCGTAAACTACAATGACAAATAGAAAACAGCAGGCATCTCAGTCTAAAGTAAAACACTAGGAAGATCATGTGCGTAATCTTTGCAGACTTTTCAAACGAATTTAACTCCGAATTACAAAATGAAAATTTCAATATACGGTACAACTGATATGTTTCAAACTCCTCGAAAATAATATATAATATATAAAAATGTTTGAGCACGGAACTGAACATAATACATGCATGCATAGACTGTAATAGGAGCCTGCGGAGTGCGGTGCGGTGCATACAGCGCTCAATTATGCGACGACTTAATTAAACTATATAGGCCGCCCCTGGTACTAGAGGGATTGGGTGCCCCCAAGGCGGGGGATCATAGATATTTTGAAGATGGAGCTCTGACAACATGAACATTTTTCTAGTCGTTTAGAAGCCAATTTTAATTGATTTTTTAAACTGGAAATATAAATATATGGCAAAATATAAAGAAAACAACTATAAAATAGCACTATGCGGAAATTGTTTTTGACATAAAGAGTGAAGTGTGTGCCACTGTAATTATGCACATACATGTCCTCAATTAAATGTAACATTACAGTACATCTTAAATTTCTCGGTTGCCAATAACCTGGTCTTTTTTTCAGCAAACTCATCGATCATTTTATCAACGGAAAGCTTTCTTGCTTCGTCTGCCTCTATTGAAATCATGGCAAGCGCCATGATCTCGCCAGGCAAATGAAATGGCAAGCGCCATTTTTATTATAAAAAAATAATTATAATAACAACTAAAAAACTGAAAAATTAAACATGTGCGTCTCATTGAATACGTGCGTGACAGCGTGTTAATGTTTATGGAAGTAATATTCACTAAAGCATAAGCAAGAGTATATAATATTTACAAGACCAAGTGTAACTGTGGAATCTGTTGAATTACGCGCTGCTTTAGTACGCGTATAAATACAAATGACAAAGCATTCTTAAGACGTACAGGTAACTTATATAACACAAGTTTTTGCTATTGGATTTCATATTAAGTCTAATTATACTTCTAGGCGCATTTACCACATTATATACACAGTAATTAAATTAAACTAAGGAACCAAAACTTTATAATAATATGGAACTAACAGTGTTCAGTGGCTGAAGTCCATTGAGTGAATTACAAGGCACATGCAAAGTGCAGTCACATTATTTTATGCACTAAATTATGGCTTTTGCAGGGCCTAAAACTTTAATAAACCTTACGCTGAGAGCCTGAGTCAAAATAATTTACAAGTCGAAGCAAGCAAAACGATATCTTTCAAATACGCCTCAAATACTGTATGTCGCACGTCGCTTATATTTTATGTTCTGCGCATAGCAAGGGCGCACGGCGACAATGCAATGCGCTAAATAAAATTTATTTATTTACTTTGCCATGACTTATACATTCACTGACTGGAAAACCACAACAGCTATGCCAATTACAGTGGCTGCACATTACTTCAAAACCATCTCTCTGCATATATCAGAATGCTGCTTCGCTCGCTCGCTTCAACTTCTGGAGTCACGTTATATACCAACTGTGATACAGAAAATCTGAATACATATAATATGTCGAAATATTTAGTTCGACTTACTACATATAGCCTACGGCCCTACTTTCATTTTCAAGGAGTTATTTTTTAACTGCGCTCATAGTTAAAAACCATCAGAGTAAAATAGCGAGCAATTTTCCACCAAGTTTTTACTCGGCCTGTGTAATATACTCGACCATTATGCACATAGGAATTCATAGGAATGACAAAAACTATATTCAAGTTTCTTCAACCTAGAATTAGGGCTATATTTTCTGTACAAATTCGTGTAAAATCATCACAAGATTTTAATAATTAGCTGGTTGACGCGCCGTTTTTCTCGAATGTTGCCAAATCAGATTCTTGTATTACTATATCGACCATATCGGCTTCATATTGTTCAATCGCACGCGACGATCGAATGTAGCCAGAAATTGTCAGCGAGTTTTTCTTGTCAAACTAATTTAACAGTCATTGCTCTCATGTATATTTTTTATTTGCTGCGTAAATCTCTACCGCGTTTGCCAGAGGTTCTGTAATTTGAACTTGTGGAATGTTTTGCTGCTGATGATAATTTGCGACAAGACGAAGTTCCAAACTTTCAACCAATTAACATGCTTAGAATATATCACGTGTTGTAGTAATTCGATCTGTATGACACATTGACAACAAGCGCCAAAGTTCAATCTTTTGAGAGCAAGCTGCAAGCATTCAAAGAGGAAGATTTCTACTCAAATTTTCTATTATAAAGTTCGAAAGACCAAATAAAATACATGGAATTTGAAAGGTATGTCCATTGTGTATTTACTCATTTGTATGCGGATAGTTACTAGACATACTGTAGTTATATTTTTATTAAAATCGAAGGCCTGTATTTTATATTATAGTCGCTTCGCCGCCGATTCAGTTCACTGAAGGTATCTGGAAGTTCAGTTGTAAATTTTCGATTAATTTCTATTAGCAGAAGTCTATAAATCTATTCTACAGTCTCACGTATATGTGTTGTTAAGAAAATCGTATAGCTTATTTGTGTGACATACATTTGTATGTTGTAATTTTCTGTTAAATATTTGCTATAAAGAAGATGCTTGTGATGTTACTCTGAGCTAGTGTATATCCACACCGAGCAAGCTTGAAAAATATGCCTGTCCACGGTGGGAATCGAACATACGACCTTTGGAATACTAGCCCAGTGCTCTGCCAACTGAGCTACGTGGTCAGGTCGGTTCGAGTATGTGATATTTTGGAACCAATGTAATCTAGTAATCATGATATTTTCTGTGTTGATGCAATGTACTCAGGTGAATGTGATGCTTGTGATGTTACTCTGAGTGTATATCCACACCGGGCAAGCTTGAAAATATGCCTGTCCACGGTGGGAATCAAATCCGTGGACAGGCATATTTTTCAAGCTTGCCCGGTGTAGATATACACTCAGAGTAACATCACAAGCATCATATTCACCTCAGGGCTCAGTACATATTTACATCAAGACAGAAAATATCATGATTACTAGATTACATTAGTATCGAAGGAACTAGATTCTATTCCGAAATATCACATACTCGACCTGTCCGCGTGGCTCAGTTGGCAGAGCATTGGGCAAGTATTCCAAAGGTCATAGGTTCGATTCCCACCGTGGACATAGGCATATTTTTCAAGCTGTGCTGAGTGGTTATATTACTACCTTAAAAAATAAGCAGAAACTCGACGTTTCGAGCGAAGGCCCTTTGTCAAGAGTTAGTTAGTTAGATATAGCCACTTTGTATATCCACTATAGCCGCAGATATAGCCACTTTGTATTTTTTAAGGTAGTAATATAACCACTCAGCACCGCACTTCTACATTGGTACTACCTACACTGGTACAGACAGTTTTAGTATATATTTTTCAAGCTTTCTCGGTGTGGATATACACTCAGAGTAACATCACAAGCATCATATTCACTTAGGTACATTCTAAGCTTGCTTTCCCTGGACAAAGGTCTATTTACATGAGCCTCTCTAGATGGGCTCATGGGCAGGCTACGCTCACCAAAACAAATCACCCAGACTGAGTTTCAAGTGTAATAGCAGCACATTTTCCAATAAAGTAAACCGACATCATACTTTTGCAAACAGTTTCTAAATGTAACTGACAAAAACAATCACAGAAATCTTTTAATATTGAAATTGATTGGGAAATGTCATTTAGAAGATTGCATGTACCTAAACAAAGCATTACTACTGTGCCAAATCAGTGGGTCATTGTATATATAGTTTATATGGGAAATCCTAGCTTGGCATTAGCAAGATTTTAGGTCAGTTGAGGCGGAATCTTCCTAAAACAGGCCAGCTCAATTCTAGTTATATAAACAGTCAAGTTGAAAATATAGAAAATAATGACAAAGTCAGGATCTCACCAAAACTGGGCCAGCCCAGGTACACAGGTTGTTGGCTCACCCCATATAAATAGCCCCAGCCTAAATCTACCTGGCTGGATTATATAGGTATTTTTCATTTAGGAATTTTGGAAAAAAAGTTATGTACCTCTATTTTAAGCACCCTTTACCAGAATAGTTGTATTGGATGATGTTACTTCAATTGCATGCTTACATTAAACAAGTAAAAGCATTTGAATTTTGTATTTTTTGCTTTGTATACCCTGGTAGACAACCAAATATAGGAAATTCATTTTCAATCAATAATTTCCTGCCGTTATATATCAATCTTTTAAAAAAATTTTTATCTTCAATTTAATTTAGGGATTGTATTTAATATGGATTCGTTATATATCCTGATGCTGAATGAAAAGTAATTAATAAAAGCTAATTCTGGACAGGAGAAGGCAAGTTGTCTGAGCAAGTTGTCCAAACAAATATAATATGTATATTAGTCATTGTTAATGGCATAATGGATCATTCCAGAAAACATCCATATTACTTCCCCCACAGAGGAAATTGGAATTTAACCCCCTTACCCCCTTCAGATCAGATCTACTAATACACTTACTATTATCAGAAACAATTTTTTAACACAACCCCCCCCCCAACCCACCCCTCCGGACGGTGGGAAGTTCCTCTTGGGGGAGTGTGGATCTTTTCTGGAATGACCAATTCTTAGTACTCCATGGTCTCTTTGAAAAATGTTATTCTTTTGCACGAGAACATGTTTATGGATTACCAAACCATGCAAGGAATGGAGTTGCCGACTTGTGGTATACAGCTTGTTTTGACTAAAATTTAACTGATGGACTTGCATGACATGCTTGATTGAACAGTCACACTACATGCATATTTTACTTGTAAATATTCTACATTGAACAGAATGTTAACCCTTTATGTGACAATTTTACTCATGAAGGAGAGAGTGCTGTCATTCAATGGGTTAAACTTTTGAACAATAAGTATGTAATAGGTACATACTGTGCCGGGGATAGAACCTTCTGTCCTGTGATTCTGAACAGCTCTTTAATAGCTGGGAGACACTCAAGCCCGGAGAGTCCAAGCCCCAAGAGTCCATCAAGCTAACCAAGAGTTCATGTATATATGAATTATAAATGTTCACAGTAAATTTTTAAGCAGAACAGCATGAAGCTTTTTATTTAGGTTTAGAGAATACATTTGCGCAGTGTGCATGTATGCATGTGTAAATATTTATCTCCTTTCTTTGATTTTTGTAGAGTTGGAAAACCGCTGTATTCTTGCAGCCTTTGCCATATATGTTGGGGGAAAAGGCAGCAAGCAAACAAATTCCAGGGGAGATATTTTCAAAGTTGTGAAATGTAAGTCAATTTTGTATATTTTTGGCCATTTTTAGCTGATTAGTGATGTCAGATCGAACTTATAAACCCTTTAAGCTGCAGAGCTTCTCCATTGACGAGCAAAATCGTCTGGCATTAGACAAGTAAAAAAAATGTAGGGCATGCTGGGGTGCATTGCGGCTCAATGGGTTAACTATAGACATTGTCATATTTTTTGGTTAAAAACCATTAAGCTGCGGAGCTTCCCTATTGACGAGTAAAATCGTCTGGCATTAGACAAGTTAAAAGAATAAGTAGGGCGCGCTGGGTGTTGTGCAGTACAGTTGCAACATGCATGCATATACATAGGCTACCTGGAGATATTTGGTATAGTGGTGTTAAGTTTCCTTGTAATGTTGCATGCATATATAATATATTCTCATTTTTTGTTTGCAGAGTGATTTTGAAATTCAGCATGCTGAGAGAATAAAGGCGTATTCAACACCGCAGCTATTGGCAACCGGATCTCTACAAGAGATAAGTTCACTATGGTATAGTTGCCATATTCAGAGGAAGTACTATAATCAGCACTATATATATGCTCATTAGCAGCGTATTTTGTTTTTAATGCTGAATACCGCAATGGCCTTGGCAATGTTCCTCGAACATATTCTACTGGGCAGGATTGGTCAAACTCTGCCAATCGATGTTGAGAACTTTCTACCACTATTGTGAAGAACACCAACTGTCACCAAGAGTGTAGTGGACTATAGAACACAAGCTAAAACTAAGATTATATGGCGATCGATTGATGTAACATAATGAGAGTTTGAGACTGCACAAACAGGGTTGCATGGTGATCGCGATCTAATTAATGCTAAGCTAAGTGCTTAGCATTGCTTTCATTATAATATATGATACTTGACTATCGCCCGTATTCTAAAAGCTCACTAGCACTCAATGAGTGGAGGTTCAATCTTGAGCTTCTCTTGAGTGTCAGTGCTGTTTTTAAATTAGCTGAAGGGTTAGTGTCGTACCTTACTATGCGACCACTCATCCTTCAGTTATTCAAAAACAGCATTGACACTCAAGAGAAGCTCAGACTGAACCTCCACTCATTGAGTGTGAGCGTGAGTGAGCTTTTAGAATACGGGCGTATACCATGCAACTCTCTAGCCTATGTGTCAGTAACAGTGTAGTCAACTGGAACACAGACTATAGTAACACTATACGTACTACTCTGTACTTACTGTAGTTTTAGATGTTACAAAATATATTTTTATATAAAGTTCATAATATTGTTTGATTATATATAGCGCACTTGGATGATTAATTGCCTGAAGAATTATTGCCCTATTTAGTTTTAGCTTATCTTATTTAGTTGACGCAACATCATTTAACCAACGAAAGTGCGCGTTGTTTTGTACTCCCACCTTGACCGTTATTTACTGATTGTTATAACTAAAAAATATGGCCAAATCAACAAAAATATTATTGGTGAATATCCGTACCATTTGTATTATAGTTAAAACAACCTATATTTATTTGGTTAAAATATGCTAAATTTGACATTTAAATTTTAGTCATTTTAACTTTTGAATATAGGTTGGAATTACTTTTTTAATTGGTCAAAATAACCATAAATCTTTAGTTCAATCAACCAATAATTAATAGGTTAAAATTACGTATTACAGATTTATAGGTTAAAGTAACCATTTGCAATGGTTTGCTTTAACCTATTTAATTTTAGTTGTTTTAACCTATTAAAACAACCTATTTCTTATGGGTTATAAACCAACCCATTTTTAATGGTTTGTTTTAACCTATTTATTTTCGGTTCTTTTAACCTATTGAAATAACCTATATTTATCGGGTTGTCCTAGACCAAACCAAATAACCTATTTTTTTTGGTTATTTTAACCTATCAGTTTTTACAGTGCATGACAACTGTATACTTTAAATACTTCACGTTAGAAAATACAATGGATTTGTCAGCAAGGCGAGGGTTTCTGCATGCATGTATTTTCTAGTATGACAATAAATCCGTAAGCTGTCAAACCGAATTGCCGGAACCAACACGTAGACCTATTGGCCAAACATTTGATAAACTGTACTTGGAATAGAACCAATTAAGGCCATTGGACCATTCGATTTGCGTTGTTGCGTCGCTCTTCGCGCCCAACTAATGTGAATAGCAAACATTTCTTGATTTGATGATTTCTTGCAAATATATAATGTAATTTTTGTAAGACTTTGTGAATTTCAAAAGCTTTTTAAGGAAATATAGTAATAAAAGAATTGCTAAAAGAGGAAGTAATGGCGCCGACGTTAACGAAGTTTGTTTTAAATATTTGTTTTGAAGGTTTAAATGTTTATATTTATCATTGGTTTAAAAGTTTGTAGCTATAAAGGTTTATAGGCCTATTGTTGAAGGTTCATTTGTTGAAGGTTTATATTTGTTAAATGCTAGCTTATATTGGAGTATATTTATTTGTTGAAGGTTTAAAGGTTGATATTTGTTTGAAGGTTTTTTTGAAGGATTTGGTTTATTTTATTGAAGGTTTGTTTTGGTTTGTTTTAAATGTTGATGTAGGCCTATTGTTCGCTTTATAATTGCTGGTTGTTGCATATTTTTTATTTAAAAAGACGGCATATAATTGAAGTCTTTCTTTGTTGATTATCCTTTCTTCTTAGGCTCTATTAAAATTTTTAAATAAAAAAAGCAAACTTGTTTAAATGCGAGAATATGAAATCATTTTATTTCAAACTCAACGTTTTTCGATAAACGCCGTATAGTTTTATAAAGAACATTTTAAAACGTCTTGCGAAGCGTTTGAGGTCGAATTTTACCTTAAATTGAAGCTTAAATTACGTATAATAACATATCTAACATATATATGTTTGGTGAATTGACAATTTTGTAATTAAAAGTGATATTTTTAGGGGATTTTTTAATTTTAAAACTATAATTCTTAAAAATTATCGTGTCAGCATGACAACTACTTTAATTACTTCATGTTAGGAAAATACAATGGTTTTGTCAGCAAAACGAGGGGTTTTTGCATACACGTATTTTCTAGTTAGTAAACTAATATTACCTGTTGATGAACATTCAACTCCAGCGTCTTCACTGTGCACACAATTATGATTGCCCCAGCCTCTATGAGAACAATTGGACAAGCTTCGTTCAGTCCCGATGCAAGCGACATCATCTAACCATATTTGTCCTGTACCATCTGGAACATTACTTCCTCCAAGTGCTCGAACGCCATCTGTATATCCAAGAAGACGACATACAACCCTAGCATCATTTATATCCCAACTGTCATCGCAAATTGTTCCCCATTGTCCGTTGTGGAATACTTCCACACGACCAATGCCATTTCCTATTAATGGCCCTTGTAACCTTAGAGACTTATCTGTGAAAAGATAATACAAATAAATTAAGGAGAGCTGCCAAAGGAGAGATTAGGTAGGATTTTAATACCCCTTAGCTTTTAATTGTATTGCGCAGAATCATGCACGGTTTCCTAAGTGTCAGTACAAACAATGTTCATCTGGACGCAAAAGCAGTGGCGTAGCTGGCTAAAAAAATCGTCCCGCCGAAGGTGCGACCTTCCTAGGGGGGTTCGGGGGCATACCCCCCCCCCCCGAGAAAATTTGAAATCTAGAACCTCGGAAATGGCATTTTTTGCGATTCGAGGGTGGAAGGATGTCTCTAAACAAAGTTTCGATACACCTCTAACAGGAATATTTTCCCTTCGTAAAATTATCTCGGCGATCTGGCCGAGAGAAGATCTGTGTGAGCTCAGAGAAGTGCTGTGCTAAGCAAAAATATTGCCCTCTGCACTGAGTCTGCAGCACAACGAATAATTAATCACTGCACTTCGTATAATGTCTCAAGCACTGCGTATGATGTTGAAACCACAGCAAGTAGTTACAGAACTGCGTAAATGATAAAACCACTGCGTAGAATGCTGAAGGTACCGCGTATAACGTTATACCGACCGCGTATAATGATTATATTATTAAATGTTTCAAGCACCGCGTATAGTAATGTTAATGTATAATGTTGCGTGTAGCCCATATATAATGTCAAAATCATCGCGTATAATGCTCGATTGCATGAACTCGAAGCACCGCGTATAATGTAAAGAGCACCTCGTATAACGATAAAAGCACCACATATATAATGCTAAAAGCACCGAATGAAATGAAATTCCGCTATGGCTTTCCATAAGATTCGTCACGATCGTTGAAGCCATTGTATACAAATCACAAAAGCAATATCAAATATGATATGAATAGTAATTTGATGACCTACCACAGTCATAGTCGTGAATACTCGCGCAGAAGCTTCGTCAGAAAGGTTTGAATATTAACAACCTTCGCCTTCATAAAATAGCGGGACTTCGGCATTAAAAACAACCGTTCTCGGCATGCGCTGTGCCAATTATCAAACCAGAAACCAGAATTTCTTGTATAAGATAGTATTGAATATTCCGCCACATGAAAATCAGCGGAACACGAGACATGCGATTCACGAATTGCGTGAGTAAGCAATAAATTGCGTGGAAATTAGCTAATTCTGCAGGGTATCAGTTACTATAGACAACAAAGAGGTCAAAGAGCAGACAGCAATATTGCGTAAACTTTAAATAAATGACAAATGAAAGCACTGAAAAATGATCATTATTAATATTTAAATTTTCAAAATAGGCAAAGCTGTGATTTTGGTTTCACTATAAAACATTTACTCATTTTTTTGGAAATTGTTAGTCCCGCCCGGCGGGACAGCGGGACCGCTTGCTACGCCACTGGCAAAAGTTGATTAAATATTCGTTGTATCAAAAGCTAGCCGGAAGGATTGCGAACAAGAAATTAAAACAGGACTATAACAGGTAGCTTTTTGGCAAATCAACAAATCAACCGACGTTTTGAAATAAAATGTACACATATTTCTTTCATGTCTTTTATTCAGAAATAGAGGAAAACTAATATGGTAAGCTCAACAATGATAGAAATTCAATAAAATACAGTAATAATCCATCATATTATCGTGGAAAATCCTATAAGATTCCGAAGGCCACACTGCAATACTCAGTTGAAATTATTACAAACTTGTGAGTTAATTAAGAGCTGATTGAAAATATGACGTAATATTGGAGATAGAAGAAGAAGAACCAATTGAAAACTGTCTGAAAATTTCAAACTGGGAACAGTAAACACACTTATTTTGTTGAAATTATTAAGAAACAAATCAAAACATAATACAAATTTTCCTAATTTTCCGAGAAATTTGGTGGGATAATGGGAAAAAAGTATACGTTTCGTATCGACAATTTGATCGAGGAGTTAACAAACTTGTCTGCGCTCAGTAATCTGTGGAGAGAAAGTTTAAATTGCGATTACCGAAACAAAAGAACAAAATGTACAAATAAATTACCAGAAAATAGAAATGCAAAATGCATTTTATGTGATTATCAGCTTTCGTAGTGTTAAAAAAATTTAAAATATTACAAAAATAAGTACGTTATATGTGTACATGTAACTGCACATAGAGCGCCATACTGAATGTGACCATTGTTTCACTGTAGTGGCTCTGTTTTGGTTACTGTTGTTGTCGTTGTTATTTAAGAAATAGAAAACGAGTCGCATGCGTTTATCCCCGAGCCGACGGCGCCAAGCGCCGTGCAACCATAAACGTTTCGCAAAAAGTTTTAAAATGTTCTTAAAACTAAATTGCGTTTTATCGGTAAACATTGAGTTCGAAATAAACGATTTCAAATATTTGCATGAAAATAACTGTGCTTTCTTCTTTATTTAAAAATTTAAATATTATAAAAAAGAGTGATTAATAAAAATACACTGAAATTATCACTTATAACGATCGTAAACTTTCCACTTATATACGCAACGACCGCATCTGCAGATTTTAAAGCAATTAAAAAGAGATAATACACCAATATTAAAAAAAAATTTTCCTTTATTAACGTCGGTAACTTTGCTCCCTTCTTTTTCTCTGGCCAGATTTTAAAATTTACAAAATCTTGCAAAAATACAATATATTTGCAAGAAATGTTTATCATTTCCCAGTCGTTTCCATGCAAATTTCAAATTTAACCAATCAGTGTTCGCTATTCACAACAGTTCGCTGTATGAACCCATGAACAGTGAACCGTAGCCATGCGCCCGCGATATTTGATAAACTTTAGACTTCCCTAGTATTTCCTTTCCCCAGATGTATATATCCGGGCAGGATTAGTAGCTTCGCCCTGGGTTTATGCCCGGAACGCTGTTTCGCACCGTTGACTCGGACAATAATTTACCTCAGCGTTATAGTTAATAGTGGACAGGTCCCTGGCGAGATAGATATAACAACTGGTCATGCCATGCAAACTTGAATTATTTGTATTATCCCATTGCCAGCTTGTACAATTGCATTGTTTTTAACTTATTTAGACGCTGGTTTATTAGCATAGCAAGACCAGTTACTATGGATAGCTTCGCCAATGGGGCAGATATTCACCATTCACGCTTTGCGTCTTGGCGAATATCCTTGCATCATTCATTTCCATTTCTGGAAATAATGGTTAAATACTGTGTATATTCGCTCCATGATCATGACAGGGTCAGGTGATGAGTGCCCGATAAATCATACTTAGTATCACACTTCTACCTTAAGGCTTTTGATACTGAAAATAATCCCATTATTATACCTATTAATGGACATACAACTCCCGCGTCTTCACTGTGCCTACAATTATGATTTCCCCATCCACTATGAGAACAATTGCTCAAATTTTCTTCACTTCCAGTGCAAGCGACATCATCTAGCCATATCTGTCCAGTTCCATCAGGAACATCGCTTCCTCCCAGAGCTTTAATGCCATCGTATACGTAATATCCAAGTTGTAAACAAACAACCCTAGCATCATCTATATCCCAATTATCGTCGCAGATTGTACCCCATTGTCCTTGGTAAAATACTTCAACACGACCAGTGCCATTTGCTCTTAATGGCCCTTGTAATCTGAGGGATATAGCTGTAAAAAAACACAAATTAGAGCGAAGAATTAACGCCTGCCTAATAAGGTAATTACTTTTGGGAGTCCTGTCCGTTTTCTATTGTGCTGTATAATACTTCGTTGGGGAAATGTAAGCATACGCGCTGTTTATCTCTAAAAAAACTGGACTGAATATCTTTTGTGACCAAATGAAGACCAAATTATACGGTTTATAATCCAGCGGATATATTTTTGCGGATTCACTGTAAAAACTGATAGGTTAAAACAACCTATTTCTAAAGGTTATAAACAATAATTAAAGGTTGTTTTAACCAATTGGATGGGTTAGAACCGATTTAAATTAGTTAAAATAACTTATTATTATCAGGTCAAGTTTTGCAACCAATAAAAATAGGTTAATTTAACCAATGTTTTTGGTTCAGGCAAATTTACCGATTGGTTATTATTCCCAAATAGGTCATTATAACCATTATGATTAGGTCAAAACACTGAAAGCTAAACTAACCTATATAAAATATGTCGAAATATTTAGTTCGACTTACGACATATACTTTCATTTTCAAGGAGTTATTTTTTAACTCCACTGAGAGTTAAAAACCATTAAAAACTTGTGTAATATACTCGACCATTACACATAGGAATTCATAGGAATGACAAAAACTATATTCAAGTTTCTTCAACCTAGAATTAGGGCGATATTTTCTACACAAATTCGTAGTGAAGGACCGCAGCTCGTGTAAAATCATCACAAGATTTTGGTAATTAGCTGGTTGACGCGCCGTTTTTCCCGAATGTTGCCAAGTCAGATTCTTGTATTCAGTGTTGTAACGAGTCACCTACAGGTCGAGTCACGAGTCGAGTCACTCAAAGGTTGAGTCACGAGTCGAGTCGAGTCATTTCAGTTTCTGATCGAGTCGAGTCGAGTCAGTTGCTTCACTCGAGTCGAGTCGAGTCAGCAGTTTCACTCGAGTCAAGTCGAGTCATTGGTTTAAGTCGAGTCGAGTCAATAGCTAGACTTAACTTGAGTCAGGGAATTTGATCAAGTCCCCCCACATCATTGTCCCCAGGGCCTCTCGGCCGCGCGCGTCCTCCTTAGGCCCCGGAACATACGGAACCCGAAGTGCAATTAAACTTGCAGTAGTTTCTAAAGCGCATGGTCTTGAATTGGGATTTTTTAGCACCCGTAACAATTTTCAAAGTGAAGTATTACGAAGAAACGAAGTATTTGCGTTGACATATGTTGATAGAATAATATTTCCTAGCGAAAACTGCTCAACTTCTGCGAAATAGCAGTTCTCCGAAAAGCCAATCAGATCTCTTCCTTTAGTCGTCTAAACCAGAGCCTAATTTTCAACGAGTGACCGAGTGAAAATGGCTCTGGGGACGAGAATGGTCCACCCCCCGGCCCACGCTTTTTGTAATGGTTCGCTACCTTAGCTTGCAGTTTGAAATTAGTAATCAAATCTACGTTTTAAGCTAATCACTTTAGTCATGTAATAACAGTATCTGGGCAGCCATATAGGCTGTACTAATATCACAGTTCTAGTCAATATTAAGTACAACCACATGAGATGTCTCCTCATCAGTGGCGGCGCCAGGCTTCCTTCAAAACGTGGCGATATTCCTAGGAATATCGCCCCCGGGGGCGAATATCCTAGGAATATCGCCTCCCAGGGGGGTGGGGCGAATACCCTAGGAATATCGCCCCTCTTTAGGACATTCGCCCCCCATATATGCGATGTGGTTTATTCAAATAATTTCGTGATACTTTCATCTTATTATTGTCTTACACGTTTGAGAATTTAACTCTTCAAAACTAAAGCTTTTTTATCCTTTTTTGAAACGTATTATTGGAGTATTGGCAAGTTTTACCATTCAGAGATTTACAAACTAATATTGAAACTGTAAAAAACAGTTTCATGTATACGCGCATTCACTAATGAGTAATGACAACTTATAAGCCATACATTTTCCGATAACGACAGAACGCTTGTGTAGCCTTTAGTCGCTCTTAGTGACTAATATTTTTTTTGAGGGGGGGCAAAATGGGGGAGCAAAAAATAATTTTGGGGGGGCATTTGCCCCTTGCCCCCCCCCCCCCTGGCGCCGCCACTGCTCCTCATGCCTGCTGATCGAGTGTATACGTATGATACAACTAGCATAACATGCAACTGGGGTCAGAATTAACAAAGCCTGAATATACTTTAATTAACCACGCTTTGTAAGTTAATTTGAAATTATATAGCACCTCATAAATACCAAAAATGAAGATAGCCTGACCGGTCAGCATAATTACAAAAAATTTTGAGACTCCATTTTAAAAACTGTGGCGCTAGCGTTGTTTCTAAAAACAGAAATGTAATATAGGCATGCCCGTCAGAAATATACTGTATTCTATGCAAATCCCATATATTTTCTGATAAAATTTCGAAGTTCTCATTGTTCACAGAGCTCATTGTTTTTCCCAAGCAACACTATCACAATAATTTTGATGAATTTATTCTGTACAAGTTGTTGCTGAGTTGACTCGAGTCATTTACGGCAAAATCAGCAAGTCGAGTCCGAGTCGAGTCATTTGGGGCTGTTGACTCGAGTCGAGTCGAATCATTTTTCGTTTTGGACTCGAGTCGAGTCGAGTCGCTGAAAATATCAACTCGAGTCGACTCGAGTCCGAGTCAATGACTCGACTCGTTACAACACTGCTTGTATTACTAGTATATTGGACCATATCGACTTCTTATTGTTCAATCGTACGCGACGATCGAATGTAGCCAGAAATTGGCAGCGAGTTTGTCTTGTCAAATTAATTTAAAAGTCATTGCTCTCATCTATATATTTTATTTGCTGCGTAAATCTCTACCGCGTTTGCCAGAGGTTCTGTAACTTGAACTTGTGGAATGTTATGCTGCTGAATATAATTTGCGATGAGTGGAAGTTCCAAACTTTCAACCAATTAACATGCTTAGAATATATTACGTGTTGTAGTAATTCGATCTGTATGACACATTGACAACAAGCGCCAAAGTTCGATCTTTTGGGAGCAAGCATTCAAAGAGGAAGATTTCTATTCAAATTTTCTATTATAAAATTCGAAAGACCTAATAAAATACATGGAATTTGAAAGGTATGTCTATTGTGTATTTACTCATTTGTATGCGGATGGTTACTAGACATACTGTAGTTATATTTTTATTAAAATCTAATTAATATTTTATATTAGTCGCTTCGCCGCCGATTCAGTTCACTGAAGGCATCTAGACGACTAGACGTTCAGTTGTAAATTTTCGATAAATTTCTATTAGCAGAAGTCTATAAATCTAATCTACAGCCTCCACATATATGTGTTAAGAAAATCGTATAGCTTATTTGTGTCACATACATTTGTATGCTGTAATTTTCTGTTAAATATTTGCTATAAAGAAGATGCTTGTGCTCGTCTGAGCTAGTATATCCACACCGGGCAAGCTTGAAAAATATGCCTGTCCACGGTGGGAATCGAACCTACGACCTTTGGAATACTAGCCCAATGCTCTGCCAACTGAGCTACGTGGTCACGACCTGACACGAACACGAAATATCACATACACGAACCAACCGTTCGAGTATGTGATATTTCGAAACCAATGTAATCTAGTAATCATGATATTTTCTGTGTTGATGCAATGTACTCAGGTGGTAATCAAACCCGTGGACGGGCTTATTTTTCAAGCTTGCCCGGTGTGGATATACACTCAGAGTAACATCACAAGCATCATATTCACCTCAGGGCTCAGTACAGTACATCAAGACAGGTCAAAGGTTTCAGGATGGCCATGCTTAATATAGTCAGTTTACCTAAGCATATAGACGAGGTTCGTATTTTACTCGCAACTTCGAAATTTTATATTCTAGCAATTAATGAAACGAGATTAGATCAATCCATTTCTGACGATCTCGTAAGTATTCCAAATTATGATATAATTCGTTTTGATCGCAATAGATACGGAGGTGGGGTTTGTATTTTCGTAAATAACTCTATTAGCTATCGCAACCTGAATCATATGACGCCTGAAAATCTTGAGGCTATTTGTATTGAAGTTTATAAACCATATACTCGGCCTTTCATAATCGCTACTCTCTACAGACCACCAAATTGTTCCGTAGATGTTTTTTCCAAAATTGAAAATCTATTCGATAATCTTGATTCTGAGCAAAAGGAAATGTACCTAGTTGGTGACTTAAATTGTAACATGTTGGACTCCTCCAGTCATGTTACTAAGCGACTAACGTCACTCATGGAAATGTATCAACTTTCTCAAATAATTACCCAAACCCACGCGTCTCACGCAAACAACCGCATCCTTATTAGACGTTTGTATCACCTCAAATTCGGAGAATGTTGTTTCTGCGGACGTTGTTCCACTGGGCATAAGTGACCACAATCTTATTTATGTAGTAAGGAGAGCCGGACCTAAAGCGGGGCCCCATTCCCATAAGAGTATTGAAATTCGCAATTTTAAGCATTTTAATTGCAATAGTTTTCACGATGACCTTTATAATCAACCATGGGACCACATCGATCAGGAATCAAATATTGATCGTAAGTTGTCTCTTTGGAAATCTCTTTTTCTGGAGGTTTTTGACAAACACGCTACGCTGAAACTCAAACGAATTCGAACTAAACATAAGATTCCATGGTTAAACCAAAATACCAAAAACTTGATACGAGAGAGAGATCGACTTAAACGTATAGCAAAATAATGATCACAAAACGTGAAACTGACTGGAATGCTTTCTCGACACTCCGAAATAGGGTGACTAACACTATACGTCAAGATAAGGAAATTATCATCGAAATATAATTAACAAGAAAAACGATCCTAAACATGCCTGAAAAGCAATTAATAATATTTTAAGTCGTTAAGTCAGCCAAATCAATTATCAATAATCTCAAAGTACATGATCGAGACGTAGTCATGCCCGAAGAAGTCTCGGATTGTTTCAATAAATACTTTGCTTACATAGGGACCAAAGTTGCAAATTCGGTCGAAAATAGTAATTGTACTGTTGCGGAATATTTTAACAACCGTCCGCTTCCAAAAATACTAACTTTAGTTTTCAAAGTGTGGAACCACAATTAGTTTATCATCTATTGCAAGAAATTTCACCTTCTAAAGCTACTGGGATTGACAAAATTCCAGGAAAAATACTGAAATTAGCCGCCCCTGTAATTGCTCAGTCTTAAACTAATATGTTTAATTATTCAATAACTACTGAAACATTCCGATCCGAATGGAAGATAGCAAAAGTTATTCCTCTTCATAAATAAAGGCCTAGAAATCTGCTCGATAAGTACCACCCAATTTCTATTTTACCAACAATCAGCAAAATATTCAAGAAAATCCTTTATTGACAGATATTCACTTATTTAAATACCAATAATATCATTTTGGAATATCAGTTTGGATTTAGAGCAAATCATTCTACACTGTAAATTAAAAAGGGCCAAATCGACCCCAAATTCCGTTTCAGCCGTTTTGGGGCCAAAGTTGTTTTGGCCCTATGTGAAAGCCATTTTGGCATTGGAGAGCTGAATCGGCACCGACGGAGCCATTTTAGGTATGGAGGAAAGCCAAATTGGCCCTACCCTTTGCCGTAACGGACCCATCATTTTCCAATTTAGCCCCATCAATTGCCAATATGGCTCCACAGACCAAAACGACTCTCACGTCCGGGTTCGTTTTGGCCCCACATAAAGGGGCCGCTTTTGATCAACACATTGGCCCCTATGAGCTTCGTTTCGGCTCTCCATCGCGGAACGACTCTCGCATAGGTCAAATCGACCCTGTAATGAAATCGACCCTTTTGTCGAAACGACCCTTCTGTCAAATCGACTCTTAATTGTGTCAAATCAACCCTTCTGTCAAATCGACCCTTCTGTCAAATCGACTCGTAAATGTGTCAATTCGACTCTTCGGTCAAATCGACTCTTAATTGTGTCAAATCGACTATTAATATTGTGTCAAATCGACCCTTCCGTCAAATCGACAGTCTTAATTCTGTCAAATCGACCCTTCTGTCAAATCGACTCTTAATTGTGTCGATCGTCCGTCGTATGATCGTATCAAATTAACTTCCGCATAAAACTTAAAGAATGCACATGCTCGCAAAGAAAAAGAAGAGGACTTTTTTGGATTAATTTATACAAGGTGAGATTTGATGTTTCATTTTGTAGGGTATTGAAATTTGTTTTCCTGATTTTTAGTAATATTATCGTAAATATAAATACGGTATTTGTAAAAATTAATCACGAGAATTGAACGTGTAATCATAGACTAAGCCCTAGGTGTAATATTAATATTAATGATCGCGGGAACTGGGAACGAGAATGTACGCGCCCGTAAGCAATCGGGTTTGCGATCATTCTCAAGCATGCGTACTAACTTTTGGTGCCATTATCGAACGTTGGCCGTTGGGACCATAGATATAGGAGATCTAGATTGCTAACGCATACCTAGCGCAGGCGGGGCCTACATGATAAATCCAAGTTGGCGGTACAACAGGGCAAAAAGACTATAGATTCTATTACGAAAATCAGGATTTTTGCATTTGTTGCTGTCGCATTGTTTCGAAACTTATTCGGTCAAATTTTATGGTAAAGAGAAACGTACCGCGAAGATTTTGAGCATATATATGATTGAATTGGATGAAAACTCGCAAAATTATCCAACGATAAAAGTTGGTGTGAAATGGTCATTTGGTCAGTTGGAGCGTTTTATTGCCAGAAATACTGTGCTATGTTAACATCTAGCCTTGTGAATGGTGTTTTATACTTGCATCTCTCATCATCATCTGCTCTGTCCTCATAATTATGAAAAATGAACTGTTATGTACCCTCCTCCCTCCCCCTCCTAGCTTGTTAGAGAAGTAAACTGACGCGAGCACTGGATGAGGATCTATCATCTATGGTCCGTTATAATTTGCTGTTTATGCAAATAGTGAGAAAAAATTAAAGCAAAACTGTACAAGTTACATATGTAGTACTATATCAGTACTATACACGAACTTTTATTGATGGATAATTTTGCGAGTTTGCATCCAATTCAATCATATATATGCTCAAAATCTTCGCGGTAAGTTTCTCTTTAACATAAAATTTGACCGAATAAGTTTCGAAACAATGCGACGGCAAAAATGCAAAAATCCTGATTTTCGTTATAGAATCTGTAGTCTTTTTGCCCTGTTGTACCGCCATCTTGGATTTATCATGTAGGCCTCGCCTGCGCTAGGTATGCGTTAGCAAACTAGATCTCCTATATCTATGGTTGGGACTTGGGATTTGCTTCGACGAGGGATACGGATAAAATACAAGCGTAAAACCTCGTTCGTTGCAGTATATTTTGAACAAATAAACAATGTATTAGGAAAATACGTTCAAGAAACGTCTCGTGCTGTACTAGCCTAATTCTGGCAAATGTTATTTACTTTCTTCACCTTCGTGTCGACGACTGTTGTTTGCTGATGGCCAAATCACGACGGCGGACATCAATTATTCAAAATATGTTCTTATAGCTTCACGTTTACGATACGAAACACGTTTTAATGTAAGATTATTAATTTTTTATATATGTAGGTTCTAGTTGAAAGTGACAGCGACGATGAAAAAAGTGCACACAACATTGAAATATCCAGTTAGTTCACTACTAGCTCGAATCCTGCGACATATCACTTGCTAGTAGCCCAGTCTAGTTTAACTTCGCCCAATCAAGAATCATCTCCTGAATCAGGCATACTGGCAACACTGGTTCATTGGATTATGTAAGTTTTTAAACCGGTATTTTAGATTATAGCTTCTGTCAAATCAGGATGAAAGTCATGCATGAATTGCTTATAAATAGGCCTACTCTGCGACTTTATCTCGCCTTAACTCGCCCTAACTCGCCTTATCTCGCCCAATCTCGCAATAGAAATTGATCGAATTTTGCTTAACTCGCCCAATCTCGCAATGAGAAGTTGACAGAATTTTGCTTAACTCGCCTAAACTCGCCCTATTTTGCAATAAAAACCGGTACAGTTTCACGTCAGTAAAACACAAATACTGTCAATCAAAATTCTTTAGACTCACAATACTCACTTATATATTCTATGGGTTTGGCATTGCAACTGACATCAACATACAAGTATGTAAGCCTGATTATCTGAAATGTTATCATATTTTTAATTTACTACATTCTCTGTAATGCCATAAAGCTGTATTGATCAAATAATTCCACCAACTACTCTACTTTAATACAGTAAGCAGGCCTTAGCAGGCATACTGTATACAGTAATACCCAGTATTTAATAAATCACAGTGAAAATAATTGAACATAATAACAGAACCCAAACTGCCAAGTATGATGAATATGTCGATGCATATCCCGCCATATTGCGTTTGCGGAATCGAATGATTCTGACTTATAGACTGCGTAGATCAATTAGAATAATTAGCAACTGATACTGTGAAGATTTAAACAATGCAGTTCTATACACACTATGCATAATGCCTCAAATTATACAATTTGGCATCTGGCTACCAGCCTTGTTTTGATGCAACTTGTTTCCAGGTCCCGAGTTATTGTGCATATCATGTATGTATTGTAGAATATAGAATAAAACACTTTTCTAGGCCTGCTACTTCAAGTACTGCATACTTGCTTACATAATTCACAAACAATGCAAAATACATAGTGTGTATACAATATCCAGATTTTTCCTTAACTCGCCTTATTTCGCCTTAACTCGCAAGGGTCAGTAGCCAGATTTTTCCTTAACTCGCCCTATCTCGCCTTAACTCGCATAGCCTCGCCTTATCTCGCGGCGAGTTAAGGTCCCAGAGCAGGCCTTATAAATACACAAAGGACATTCAAGTTCCAGATGAACAAAATATTATTAAAGCTTTGATGCGTGTTCTGCAACTATGTTTCAACTTTAAAATACTCTCATCCTCGTTTGACCCATAATTATTCGTTGATTTTACTCGATACTAAATAGTGAAACATCGAATCCAGATAAAATCTTATGCAGAACCCACTGTAATTGCGAGCTGTAATCACATAATTATATAAAAGTCGTTTCAGTAGCAGCAAAAGCCAAACTAAACACCAACTAGGATTAATAGGTTTAGCTTTTTGGCCGAGAATAATACACGATTGACAAATTGTGGCTGATTGATTTAATAGTATACTGTATATTGATGTTGTTGTGTACAGGACATCTGACTTACATGTCAAATTAATAGTCGAATCTATGATTATATTGAGCATGGCAGATTTGACATTTGAAACATTGTTGATGTTAATAACCCAATGAGTCGCATTGCGCCCTGATGCGCACTAAGTATTTATTATTTTACTCTGGTTATCTAACGCTAGGCAATTTTACTCATCAAGGGGAGAGCACTGGCGGTTAATGTGTTAACGAGCCCATGTTTACAGTTAACCCAATGAGTCGCATTGTGCTCTAATGCGGCCTAATTTATTATTTTACTCTGCCTATCGCAGGACAATTTTACTCATTAAGAGCAGAGCGCTAGCGCTTAATGTGTTAACTGGCCTATCTGCCCATGTGTCTAGTTAACCCATTGAGTCGCATTGCGCCCTAATTTATTATTTTACTCTTTCTAACGCCAGACAATTTCACTCATTAAGGGGAGAGCACCGGTACTTAATGGGTTAACTGCCTTATCTGCCCATGTGTGTTGTTAACACATTGAGTCGCATTAAAATTGTGCCTTATTTATTATTTAATATTTTACTCTGCCTAACACTTACTCGTCAAGGTAAGGGCGCTGGTGCTTAATGGGTTAACTGGCCTATTTGCCCATGTTTATAGTTAACCCATTGAGTCGCATTGCGGCCTATTTTTTTTTTTTTTACTCTGTCTCGAGAGGAGAACGCTGGTGCTTAATGGGGTTAATATTGAAAATATAGATCAACATTTGTCAAAACTCATGACTTGTGCAATCATTTCTGTAATAATTAAGATATTAAAATACCAAATATAATGCCTTATGGCTTATTTCAAATGGGGAGATGCTATGTGACTATGGCATGTCCATTGAAACTTAGTGGATTTGTTGTAGCTACATCAAATAAATGCCAGCCAAAACATATTCAAGTCAATCGAAGAGAATGTAGAATTGCACTTTACATAAAATTCCCTAGTTATTGTACATTAATGAAAAAGCATTTGAAATGGAAATATATTGTTTTAATTTTAATTCTATGGTTTGTACTATGATATACATGGGCTATACACTCTTTGGGAACCCGCAGGGCTGTTGGCAGAACATTTCCATGGTCTGGAACTTCAGTCCTAAACACGATGTGTGAGTGCGAAGATGTTGTGTAGGAACAGAACTGTACAGATTAGAAATATGATTACTGATATTTTCCAAAGAAAAACTATTAATATATAGAAGAGGAAAGAAAGAGGCAATAAATAGCCCAAAGTATCTGTTGTACATTTGACATTTATAAATGGTAGGCTTATTAAGGATGAGATACAGAGAAAAACAGTAATGCAGAACTACATTCTCTTAAATTGTCAAAATTATATGCTACCAATCTTGGTCTCGTTTCAAACTTGAATAAAGAAAAGTCTAAAAATATAAAAACTATAAGAACAGATCAGCTAAGTCCAGTTATAAAATTAAATGACCAAGATATAATGAATACCACTAGTGACATGAGTATATCCAATTAATATTTAACTAGAAATAAATGCATGCAGCAACCCCTAGCCTATATTTTCCAAACATTGATTTAACGTGAACTATTAGCAATTGGCCAGCACTGAACGCAGGCTCACGTTGTGTCAAGTGTTGTCAAGGCAACATAATGTCACATTATATTTTAAATTTTTTTGAGTAATTTTGCAAGTGTTCATACCACAGAATCTACCATACATAATTTTAAACAAATAGATAGGTGAAGTAATTCAAACAAAATGATTTTGAACTTTATTACTCTACTCTGTCGAACGACTATTCTACTCGTAAAGGGGAGAGCCCTGGTGCTTAATGGGTTAAATAAGATTGTATAGTTATATGTATATCATGTATTATGTTTTTATGCAGTCTCCCTGAATCACTTGTACCAGGCTATGGAAATTCATGTTTCCAATTTTGTATTTATTTTTCTTATGATGCAGTATACTGTAAATTTGAATAATATTTGTGTGCTTATAGTGAGCTTATTTTTAGGAGAGTTCGTTGCGAGGCAGCATATATTTTGATATTTCAAAATATTACTGTATATTGGTATGTTATACTTAATGCTTTTGGAAGGGTTATAGGGGTCGGGTGTGATATACTTTTTCAGGTATTTTGTGTCTGATGTATGTAAGAGCTTTATTATTGGGTTTCTTGGTGAGACCTTATATCTTATGTGTCCTATAACCCTCTGTAATTGCGGATTATTGCATACATTCTAATTCTATTTTTTTGTAGGAGTCCAAAGATGCAAATGATACAATTTCAAACTTATCACAACCCATATTGTGGCCGCTGGCAGCGAACTAGAATACGACTAGAAACTATCAATCATACGTTATCGAGGGAAAGGATGAAAGTTCCATAACAAGCAACAGTTGTTTTGATGCAATTATCGCCTTATTGGCAAGTTTTTACATCTTCAATATTGAGTACTGCCACACGAAGAGCATCTTGTCTGCCTTGCAGACTATAGTAGTGCATGGCCAACACAGAAAATGGCATGCAACTGCCAATAGTGAGTTTAAGCAAGTGACGTT